TTAGTTCGTCTCATATCATAAGTAAAGGACATATTGAATGCAGGAATTTAAGATATTGATTGAATGAATAGAATGCTCCAAATAAGGCAACTCTGATTCATGTTATAATCCTGGGTTAACTTTTATTAGCCTTAGGGTGCAACATATAAGCTGTTTTACATTTCTACATGAAACTCTTATGTAATATCTGCTGGGTCTGTCGATGCACTGTATAAGCCTCCTAAGTAGCCTTTCACATATTTCACAATTGCCTATGCTAGCATGCTGCCGGTATTGATAACTATGCTAACTAGACTGTCACCTTTAGGTTTAATTGCATGTAATTTCGAACTTTATCTCTATTTCTGAATTTTTTAAATTGCTTACTTGCTCCCACAGGATCGTCAATGATGGGTTGTGACTTGTGAGCCATTTTCCAAGGACCTGTAGACGGATTATAATGGTCCATTTTCAGAGATTCTGTTGAGCTATTGCCTTAATGGAGATGATTTTTGCTTGATGTGTGGAGCTCTGGAAATAAATGTGAAATTTTGTAATTTTAGGTCTCTTCATATTTTTTTTTTTTTTTTTTTTCTGTATTGTTTCATTATTTTCTAAGTTTGTAAATGGAAAGAAACCTTACTTGGTCATGTTCAGTAAAAGTGACATGAGCACTGCTAGGAGCGAGTGCGCTTGAACACTCTCTTACATTATGACACGTTATTTTACTAAAAGAGATACTGGATACCCCGTTAACTAGGGCTGGGCGCGCACGCAGGTGACAACTACACCAAAATCGGGCATACAGTGCGGGCACAAATGGGCTTCGGGCCCAAGGAATGGTTGAGGCCCGAAACCGTTTATAATCGATGCGATGTTCAGTTTCAAGTCCAAAAATCGAACAACATAATAATACACTTGAAAACCCGCATTATTTTTTAAGAAAATATAAAACATAACAAACCCTAATTGGTTTTTGATTAATTGATTAAATTTTTTATCAGAGTATTCGTGATCAGTTTGCCCTCTGTGCATCCTCCTTCCATAATTTTCTTAATTTCTTTCCTTTTTGTTATTTTCTTGTATTTTTTGAAAAGGGACCACTGAACAGTATCGTCCTTCTAGAAAAATAATAAATTATGTTACTAACTTGAGAATAATTTTAGACTTTTTATATATATATTATAGGGGCAAAGGGGAGGAGAATTTTGCACAATAACAAAAGTTGAAAAAATTACTTTTTAATTAACAGAGTTAACAATATAAAATGAAGGTAATTTTTTTGATTTTAATAAGTGAAGTTAAAACTTATAAGTAAGATGAAGAGTTAAAAATGTAATAATATAAGATAAAGGATTAAAACTTGGTAAGGCAAGGGACTCAATGTGTTTTGTGGGAAAGAATATATTTGTATGAAAATTAAATGATAGTGACATAGAAAT